ACAATATAACAGATCAGATCCTGATTGTGCTAAATACTGACATGAGAGAAATTGCACTTAGTCGTACAAAAGCCTGTTACAGATGTCTCACGAGACAAGAGGACTGGTAAATCCATTCCGGCATGAAACTCTAGCACGTTGCCATGGAAACACAACCCTGTTTAAGGCAGGAAAATAACAACACAACTGAATATCACAAGATTGTGCAAACAACTTTGTTCATATATATAAAGTCATGTCCTAATAATACACACACTTTGTCATCACTTGGTACAATAAAAGAATCTTGGAATATTTAAATAGCTAAGAATTTAAATAACTGACTAGAACACTTTTTCTAAAAATGATCTTACAATCGGTATTACTTTATGATAATAGAACATATTGTCAATATCTGGAAACAAATGCTAATATTTTTCATTCATCAACAAAATTATTGTCTTGTGACCAAACCAAGATTGTTTACCTTTTTCAAGTGACTGTGGCCTGCACGCCTAACCACATGGTTCACTGTTATATCTGAAGTTCTCAGTAACACACATTAACACAGACATTGTCGTCCCACCCGGACCCAATACACAACTATTGTTTTCCTGAACCTAACACTAAGTTCAAACTTGAAAATACTGAAATTTTATTGAACACATATTCCTCATGCACATACTTAGACTAATAGCAGAAAAATAAGACCACTTTTCAAAATTACAACAGTATTTACAGAACTATGCTCAAATATCCTACAAAGATCTATTTCAAACGTAGTTGAAAATTCATGTCGAAGTTGAAGATTTGAGTAAAAACACAGAAATATTGTAACATAAAATTACAGATTTCTGTAAGTGACCATTTTACACAAATCCTAAAACAAATGACTTCAAATAAAGGGTCATTCCAATACTTCCAGCTGTTACCATCAGACATCCCAAATATTTACCTTCAGAAGTTGAGACAAAGATGATGATAGATGAGATTATATTTTTGATGATTAAAGCAGAATGGTATGTTGAGGTATGTTATATGTTGCAGACATCTGACCAGCCTGCAGAACAATCAACAGATATAGATGAAAACAAGTTTGTAGTCAAGTAGCATCTGACAGCAAGATGGGACAACCTAAAAGTCATTAATGAAAAGAAGTAAATATAACATTCTCTAAGTAATTAAATTCATATCTAAACAATACAGGGCATCACCTCCAAACTGTGAGTTGTAGGGGTGACACGATACACCAATCTCACGATACGATACGTATCAAGATTTTAAGGTCACGATACGATACGAGATTTTATGGTCACGATACGATACGTATCGCGATACATAATTTTCGCGCCTTTTCATAGCATTACCCTACCGGCAACGTAGGCGCTCGCTGATTGGTCCATCAAAATAGTCTAGCCAATCACAAAAGCTGTTAGTTTCCAACCTATTTTTTAAGTAAAGCTAGCTACATCTATTTATCGGAGCCGTCTCGTATAATTTTACTATCAAGACTTTGAAGGAGATGGATATAGCATAAAAATTTGAATCGATAAAGTTTTAAAATAGGAATCGATACACGTAAGCATGTATCGCGTATCGTATCGTCAGTAAAAATGTATCGATGCATCGATACATTCGCGTATTGCGACACCCCTAGTGAGTTGTACAGCAACATTTAATTGAATTAAGCTTCTTGATCCCCTGATAATTGTTGCCAAATAGTGAAGCTATGCTCCCTGCACTAATCTTTGTAGATCTTACTTTCTTGATGACTAAAGGATTGGTATTTTTGGAATAGGACACAGTGCTATTTCTCCCTGCACATAATAATATTACTTAATACATTCTAAATGGTTTCAAGACACTACATCAGAACATTCAAATGTCATCTGAAGATGACCATTGACGATACTGTTTTCCTAAAGACATACACAGCAGACTGTTTCCATGTGTTAGTGTAATCTTGGTGAAACTTACTACTTATTTGTTGATACTGCTTTCCTTAAGACTACATAATTTTGCTTGTGACACTGTTGACGGCATCTCGTGACAGTAGAATATACCTTGTGACAAGGAAAACTGAGATATGAAACAATAGAATACTCCTTGTGACACTGTTATCTGTGACAATCAAATGTAGATTTCTTCCTTCAAGACCATTTGTCTGGTTTGAGATTCATTGTAATGTAAACAAAAGACTTGTCCTTCTGGCTTCATATTACCATGAAAAATATTTTCCAAATAATCTATATGAAAATCACACAACTGAAATATACAAATCAAACAACAAACCTTCTACATGATTCATTACGGACTTCAGATTATTATCTGATCACAATCAACAACTGAAGATTAGGAGATATTTTGATATTCTTACACTTGTTTTCTAACTACAATAACAAAATGACAATATCATGTCCCTACAGTATCCCCTACTGATATTATGCTGGTGACACTACACATCGTATTTCTCCAGCTTTTCACAGTACAAACACAATCTCCTATTCATCATTCCAGCTACTTTAGTAGTTTAGGGACCATTCATAATTTATGGCTGGGGGGGGGAGAGAAAAAGAAAGAAGATGATAATGATTTGAAGGGGGTCACCCATTTTGTTCTGGGGAGGTAGGGGTCATCAATTTTGTACACACGTCCTAGGGAGTCAGCAATTTTGTACAAATGAATACTTAAAAATTATGCTTAAACTTTATGGGAAGCAGGGGAGGGGGGCATTGATTTTGTACATCACATCCACTTACTTTGTACATAAATTTTAGGGGGTGGTGTGTGTGTGTGTGTGTGTGAGAGAGAGAGAGAGTGTGTGAGTGTGTGTTTGCGTGTCCGTGCGCATTCACATTGTATGTTCTTCTCCATAAAAATCATCATCACCCCCCTAGCCATAAATTATGAACGGTCCATCCCATGAAATGGGAAAGAAATACTCAGGCATACTCATAGCTGAAGTGACAACGATAATGTCATCACCATAAACATCCCAGCAGTAATGCTGGCATCAACATACAATGTCTAAATCTGAAGAAAGTCATAACTGAACCACAATAAATATATCATTCAACAAACATTTATGTACAAGAGTTGATCTTACTGCAATGTGGATGTTTAGTGATTTTATATATTTAACAATGAAATTAAATAAATATTAAAACAAAAATATATTTTTTCATTTCATGCAATATTAAAAACAAACAGTTAAGAAGATTTTTTTGTGGCCTTGCATAATACTTATCATTAACCATGGTTTTCTTTGAAGACATCCTATTAAAAAAACTGTTCTCTGAGATTGTTAAATTGAACCGGACTGTTTGATTCTGGTAATGCCTTACACAGAGACTGAGACTAAGAGACCAAACTCCCTGAAACCCGCTCTCACCTTCAAGTAAATAAAGACAAAACATTTTTCACTTCCTGGTGTACAGCTGTGAAATAATCTAATGGGAAAATGATATATATAAACCTGCCTTTCCGTTTATGTGCTCCTTAACAAGTTCTGTATATTGTGTTAACTGTGCAAATATCAATGTTCGTGAAATTTAATACATAATATGCTCATTTTTGTAAATTTATATCTTTGATTTAGTGAGAATAAAAAATAATAATAGTGTGACCTATATTTCATTTTTCATATATTTCTTATTTGGAAATTCTGTAACCATTTTCATAAAAAAGAATTGCCTTACATACAACAGGTTATCAGATATATCTGACAGTGAGAGTTGCGAAAAGCACGAAACTGGAATTTCAAGGAATGTCTCTAATTTGCATCAGATCAATCACCAATCACCTATGTCAATATCACGTCTATTTCATTATACAGCTCCGGTTTGATTTCCTATTCAACATTCTCCTCCAAATAAGCTATCGTCAACTACACGACGATAAAATTCACTGCGGCATAAAGAACACTGAAAAAAGTCAGTTTGATTGTAGTAAGGAAATTGATTACTCTCACAATTTGTTTTGTAAGTGAAACATATGATGTAAGATGTACATAAATGTTAGTTGCCACTCGTACCATTTAACACAATAACATGACTACATGCTGAACTGGGAATATAATCCCGTATCTAGCACACTCAAAATATACATAACGATTATAAAAGTTTCTTTTGAGACAGATGAATACTGCAATAAAATATTCAAATTATCAGTATTAGCACTGACTACAAGATAAAATATTGTCCATTTTTGTCTCAATAAGTTCAAAACAGAATATACAATTGTTCAGATCTATGTTGAAAACACAAACACAGGTTGGTCCCCAGTGTCTCAGAAGTCTATGCCATTTAATGATAAGTATTATAATTATCATCATTACATTTTGAAACTATGGACTTAGCTTTGCAGAAGCCCAAACTTCAATCCAACACAGCCTATGCAGAGACTTATCAAACATTCCAAACTTGGTACCTGTGGCGGACAAACTGGGGAAAGATTTATTAAACCCGAAATTCTTTATATGCCTGTGTTCTAAATTTCAGAGGTAATCAATATTGTAATTTAACACAGCATTTGATGCAATAATGTTAAACTAAGCATTAAAACCTCTTCTGCTTTTCATTTGGACAAAGTTATAAATAACAATAATAATGAAAGATTTAAACTTCAATTGTATTTTTACCGACACTTTCTGTACACCTGATCGAAATATCATCTGAGCAGAGCAACATATATCTGCGATGTGAAGATAATCTTAAACAGAGTCGATTTGTTGTCAGTCCAAACAAATATAATTTCAGTTGCCAAGGTTCAGTTGGATGTCACTGTTATGTCCCTACCGCCAACAGAGAGCACTTGACTCCACATCTTCGATAGAATAATAATAAGTCATCTTCTGTAGCGCACAGTCTCCAAACACCAAGTGATTGCTCGCGGCCCTTACTCAGAATCTGATTCTTATTACCCCGGATAACCCAAGCTGCCTGTTAGGCGCGCTAGAAGGTTATAGTCACATGACTTAATCCAACCGGGTACCCATTTTCTGCTGGGTGAACAGAGGCAATTTGAACAAACTCACTTGCCTAAGGTGAGACCACATGTATCACATGTGCTTTGTTGTGGGGCAGGACAGAAGTCCTAGAAACTCTCAGGAGTCAAGCTGCATGCATAGAAGATGCATGCAAGTAGAGGTTAGACCTTTCATATCGCTTTCAAACATATAAGCACTTGAATATAATCATATGTCGATGATCTTAATTTCATCACCTGATAACTCTCATTTCACTGATGTTTTTGACAGGGATTGATGTCAAGAGACAGTACTTATAAAATGTCCCAAAATGGTCACTTTTTCCAGGACATTTATTAAACCTACTGTTCCTAAATGCTTGATGTTAAATGACAGATAATATCTGAAACTATACAGCCAATCAAAATATCATATTCATGATGAAATTGAATTTCCAGGGGAGGTTACTGCTGTGAAGGATGATGGTCTAAGGGGAGACAATCCTGTGTCCTCCACTCCAAGCAAGAGCTGGTCATCATGTGTGCATCTAGCCTTGTCTACTGTGAAAGCGCGCTGTAAGTTCATGAAGGCCATGTTGTCATGGTAACGGAATGCCATCTAATATTCATCCGGCTGAAAAAGAAAGTCACAGAAATAAGAAAAATGGAAATGAAGAACAAGAGTTTGAATATGTGAATGGCCTTACCAGTGACACAAATATTGCTGAGTCAGCCATGATGTCATGAACTGAATGATTGACTGAATAAATGAATGATTGACTAAATGATTGACTGAATGTTTGTAAAGAATGCAGTCGGAAAAGGATTTACACCAAACGGGGACATTTCTTAAAATGGGACAACACTATTAAAAATTTAAAATGACATTCTTACCATTTAAGATGGAGCAAATTATAGTCAACTACTGTACTGTTGGAAGCTTATAAGAAATAATTTATACCAACAGACCATATGTCTCATGAAAAGTAAAACTATAAACTTAACAGTCTCTGATTTTTCACAAGAATACTGAAAAAGTACCAAACCTGACTGTATTTATCTAACATCAGATAAGCTATTCCTGTAATGATTGACGATCACTAAATTTTCAATCTGTATAATGTTGGAATGGAACACAGTAGTCAAAATGCTGAGATGATAACATGTCAATAAAATTGTGCATTTACTTCGAAACACAACAGACAGCTTGTCATCTGCTATAAGAAACACTCAGTGTGATAACCACAGTCAGTCATGCAACACTCTACATCCAACATGTCACGTTGGCCAACACACCTACCATATGCTCCTTGTAATCAACAATTACAACACTGAAGTTCACACAGCACTCGTAAGACAAGATTACCCTTAGTGAAGCCCTTATGTTTCATGTAAGACACGGCTGCCCAAAACTGATGTAAACATCACACAAAATTACACACTGATGCGAAGCACTATACTCCGTGTAAGATAAGGTTCCCCATATTGAAGTACATATATTTCGATTACGACAAAATTATCCATATTGAAGCACATATACTTCGAGTAAGAGTGAGTGAGTGAGTGAGTTTAGTTTTACGCCGCACTCATCAATATTCCAGCTATTTGGCAGTGGTCTGTAAATAATCAAGTCTGGACCAGACAATCCAGTGATCAACAGCATGAGCATCGATCTGCGCAATTGGGAACCGAAGACATGTGTCAACCAAGTCAGCGAGGCTGACCACCCGATCCTGTTAGTCGCCTCTGACGACAAGCATGGGTTACTGAAGGTTCATTCTGACCAGAACCTTCACGGGCATCGAGTAAGACAAAGTTACCCATATTGAAGCACACATACTTCGAGTACGACAAGGTTATCCAGACTGAAGCACATATACCTCGAGTACGACAAGGTTACCCATATTGAAGCACACATACTTGAGTAAGACAAGGTTATCTAGATTGAAGCACTATACTCTGTTTAAGACAAAGTTACCCATAGTGAAGCTCATATATTCTGCATGAGTAAAACATTTGGATGTTTTCACAACAGCTAATCAACATTTCACACAGATTTTCAACATTGTCAACAAAAAACCTAGACTTCTACGAATGTACACACGACAAAAATATACACTCAACATCTATTGACTGACATCTTCAAACAATTTGCACTGGGATTAAACTGTCAAAATACTTTGTTATCTGCAAAAGCAATTAAGACAAAGTTGATAACTTGCATCTCAAGGCATATATCTGGTTGATAAACTGTTATTTTATTACAAATGTGAATGTTACGAGAGAGACAAGCCACTAATTTTCTTTCTACTAATTACTCTTATGACAAGCACTGGAAGGAGAGACTGACTGACTGACTGACTTAGATTTTACGCCGCTTTTAGCAATATTCCAGCAGCATCACGGCGGGGGACACCAGTAATGGGCTTCACACATTGTACATGTGGGGATTCAAACCCGGGTCTTCGGCGTGACGAGCCAACGCTTTAATCACTAGGCTACCCCACCGCCCCTGGAAGGTGAGAACAAAATCGAACCTAGAAATTTCATAGGAGGCATTAGCGCAGCGTGACATCAAGGTTATGTTCTGAAGATGACTGAAGATTGTTCCGAGATATAGTGACACCTCAGACAAAAACCTTTCACCAAGAGACATATTTGGATCATAAATAACACTTAGATCTAACCTAACATTAAACCTTGCCCTGCTATATCATATTGTTCCTTTTCTTTTCTCCATGAGTGTACCCATTGTTTACCAGACCATACATCTCCACCATAAATTTCTATTTTCAACTCTGCAATAAATTCGCTTTAATGAACAGATTAATCTATCAAAAAAACCCAACATTACAACCTCTGCAGGCTACAAAGTATTTTGACAGTATAACTTCCAGTCAACATAAACTATCAACATTTTACGAGGTGGGATCTACCGACCATTTCTGCTGAAGCTACACAACAAGCTCTGCATGCTGATACTTACACGGTGTCCAACAGCGGTCACAAAGCTTGTACAAACTAGTGCACAATGTTCTGGTGTGTGCCATCAGGTATACTCATGGTCAAAAGTTAAGCAAGGACTCTTTTGGACTATTCTAATTGGGGTGAGTGAGTGAGTTTAGTTTTACGCTGCACCTAAAATACACTGACTGTATTGGTTTTACGCCGCTTTTAGCAATATTCCAGCAATATCACGGCGGGGGACACCAGAAATGAGCTTCACTTATTGTACCCATGTGGGGATTTGAACCCGGGTCTTCGGCATGACGAGCCAACGCTTTAACCACTAGACTACCCCACCGTCCCCCTAAAATACAAGTCACCATCTATTGTGTTGTGTAACAAGATACTGAACAGAAAACTTTGTCAACCTCTGAGTGAGTGAGTTTAGTTTTACGCCGCACTCAGCAATATTCCAGCTATATGGCGGCGGTCTGTAAACAATCAGGTCTGAACCAGACAATCCAGTGATCAACATCATGAGCATTCAGCTATGCAACTGTGACTCGATGGCATTTCCCTTTTAGCCACCTCGTACCACAAGCATGGGCTGCTGCTGCTGGTGAAATCTAACCTGGATCTTCACAGGTTTTCTGGGACTAAAATTTGATGACTGCCCACCCCAGGAGAGACAAACTGAAAGAGTGAGTGAGTGAGTGAGTTTGGTTTTGCGCCGCTTTTAGCAATATTCCAGCAATATCATGGCGGGGGACACCAGAAAGGAGCTTCACACAATGTACCAATGTGGGGATTCGAACCCGGGTCTTCGGCATGACGAGCGAACGCTTTAACCACTAGGTTACCCCACCGCCCCCAAACTGAAAGAAGGGGATGGTGACACAAACTTTCCTTTGGAAACAGGTAACAGTTAACTGTCAGACTGATACACACATCACATGAACGAGTATGGTTTTACGCCGCTTTTAGCAATATTCCAGCAACATCACGGCGGGGGACACCAGAAATGGGCTTCACATGTGTAGTCATGTGGGGAATCAAACCCCGGGTCTTCAGCGTGACTAGTGGATGCTTTAACCATTAAGCTACCACACATCACCTGAACAATGGGTTGAGGAACTTGAATCAAATTTGCCAATATGACTGAGCTGTTTAACTTATGACCATCAGTACTTTAATTCCACTCATCGATGACAAAAATCATTTTCATTATCCTGCACTGCCTGAATTGTTACATGTTACAATGTGAATTGTTTTCTTTGATAAACAAATACTAATTTATATTAAAGGCACAATGTCACACTTTTTTTATAATACTTTAGCCTATATTATATATATTGGGGCATGTGCACTCATTTTAGCTTCCTATTGATGCAATAAAAGACTTATTATTCCTTACCACTTAAATCGATAACTGAAACTTCGAGGCGAACAGCTTCCAAACAGAGAACACGTGCCATATGTGGAACGTAAACAATTGCTCCGTACATCGAAAACTGTCTCAAGCGGTGTTGTGGGTGTTTGTCGAACTGGTTTTAATCACAAGTTGTTCATAGGATATTCGTAAAGAGCGCTCCAAGGGACATAACTCTATGGAGTTTGCTTGAAATAATGTTCGGCCGGCAGAGGGCAGGAGAGTCGTTTTTATGCAACATTGCGTTAATTCATTCAAACTTCATAATTTAACATTGAAATCAAATACATAATATGGGGGAGGGGAGAGAAAGGAGAAATAAATTATATGGAATCTTCCCCGAGGGCTGATAGTTTATGTATTTTCAGAGAAGTGTTGTGTGATATAGTGCCTTTAACAAATGTTATCATTTAAATCATTTTTCTAACACATTATTAAGTCAATGCATTATTAAACTGATTTTCTTTTCTTTTCTTCAGAGTGATTATTACAAAAGCAAAGTTATTCTCTAGTTTAGCCATTTCAAGGTTTGTGCAATTCTGAACAGTGATACAGACACTACATTTTACATTTAAACAGGTAAATGAAGTGTGAATATCACAGCTGTGTCTTTAGCGTGTCTCTAATTCAGGCAGACATAACGAGAATCTATCATAACAATTATTTATTAAGTCTATGCAAGGATAATTCAGTTTCAGAAATCAGTTCAGAATTAACATGCTCTAAAACTCTTTTCAAAATGGCCACAAATTCAATGCCAGCTAGATCTCTCCATCACGGATTACTGTAATCAATCGGTCAGTGCTTACATGAATTACTTTGAATATCCTTGCACAAACAAGCACTTCAGGAGCAAAACACTGAATTTAACTACCTAAATTCCAATTAAATGGAACTTTGTTTCAGATCAGCCTATATGACTTGTTTGCCAAATTCCAAAGCTCGGAAGAAGATACATAACATATAAGATCAAATAGTTTCACAACCTGCGGATCACTTTCTTTGTATTCATATACACCATAAATATACTCGAAATACTTCAACATATTTTTCAGCTCCTGAAATCCTTAAACAGAGCCCAACAAACGTACAAACAAACAAAATTCCACTCACAATGATGGCTGTGCTACGTCATGCACAAAACTTAATCATGTATAAACCTCAGGTGTCAACTCGGCTGACAGAATGTGCCAGCGGCGGAACTCGCGGTCTGGGTTCTTCAATGTTTCGAACCAGTGCTTGAGCCGATCTCCCTTAGTGTTAATGCCAAGTTGAACTCCACCTGAAAGGAAATTCATAATGAACAATACGAATGTTGATCATTTGCTGGTTATTCAGACAATAACTAATAAGTGACGGGGAATGACAATTACGTAATACTTGAGCCTTGTCTTTCCTGAGTTATATTAATTACATATTTCTCAAGCCTTTGCAAGAGAATTACATAATTAATATAATGATGGAAAGATAATCTGTCATTCCCTGTCACGAGTTGGTTATTGTCTTTACTACCCATATCAGTTTTTGATCAAGAAAGCTAATATGAAAACAGCATTCTCTATAAGGAAACCCGTGATGTGGGGAAGTCCTATATCCCAATGCGTTGATTGGCTGTTTTATTATCTGAAACAGCCAATCAATGTTCACCAAAAGGTGTAACCTCCCTAGAGACTTACAGGAAAAATACTACCCTGTGTCCTCCCTCCCATATGGGAAATAAAAAAGCATATGATCCTAAATACACGCAATATATCTTATAATCAATAATTAGTGACTGACTGACAGCTTATCGTTGGAGAGTGAGTGAGTTTGGTTTTACGCTGCTTTTAGCAATAATCCAGCAACATCACAGCAGGGGACACCAAAAATGGGCTTCACACATTGTACCCATTTGGGGATTCGAACCCGGGTCTTCGGCGTGGCGAGCCAACGCTTTAACCATTAGGCTAGCCCATCACCCCAATAATTAGTGAGTGAGTATGGTTTTACGCCGCTTTTAGCAATATTCCATCAATGACATGGCTGGGACACCAGAAATTTGCTTCACACACTGTAGCCATGTGGGGAATCGAACACGGGTATTCGTCGTAACGAGCTAACGCTTTAACCACAAGGCTACCCCACCGACCCTAATCAATAATCAAAACATGCAACTTGGAAAAGATTTGCTTGCTAATTTGAAGGTCTGTTTCACTTTAACTATCAGATAATTTCTGTTGATGTGTGTTGTTTAATGCCACGTGGAAGTACAAGGAACCTGTCTATAAGCCTAAACTGAGTGTACTGAAGTTTGTCTGACCAGAGTGGTATGGAGCTCCTGGAAGTACAAGGAACCTGTCTATAAACCTAAATTGAGTGTACTGAAGTTTGTCCTACCACAGTGGTATGGAGCTCCTGGAAGTACAAGGAACCTGTCTATAAACCTAAACTGAGTGTACTGAAGTTTGTCCGACCACAGTGGTATGGAGTTCCTGGAAGTACAAGGAACCTGTCTATAAACCTAAACTGAGTGTACTGAAGTTTGTCCGACCACAGTGGTATGGAGTTCCTGGAAGTACAAGGAACCTGTCTATAAACCTAAACTGAGTGTACTGAAGTTTGAATTTCCACAGTGGTATGGAGCTCCTGGAAGTACAAGGAACCTGTCTATAAACCTAAACTGAGTGTACTGAAGTTTGTCCGACCACAGTGGTATGGAGTTCCTGGAAGTACAAGGAACCTGTCTATAAACCTAAACTGAGTGTACTGAAGTTTGTCCGACCACAGTGGTATGGAGTTCCTGGAAGTACAAGGAACCTGTCTATAAACTTAAACTGAGTGTACTGAAGTTTGTCCGACCACAGTGGTATGGAATTCCTGGAAGTACAAGGAACCTGTCTATAAACTTAAACTGAGTGTACTGAAGTTTGTCCGACCACAGTGGTATGGAATTCCTGGAAGTACAAGGAACCTGTCTATAAACCTAAACTGAGTGTACTGAAGTTTGTCCTACAAAGGAACCTGTCTATAAACACAGTGGTATGGAGTTCCTGGAAGTACAAGGAACCTGTCTATAAACCTAAACTGAGTGTACTGAAGTTTGTCCGACCACAGTGGTATGGAGTTCCTGGAAGTACAAGGAACCTGTCTATAAACCTAAACTGAGTGTACTGAAGTTTGTCCGACCACAGTGGTATGGAGTTCCTGGAAGTACAAGGAACCTGTCTATAAACCTAAACTGAGTGTACTGAAGTTTGTCCGACCACAGTGGTATGGAGTTCCTGGAAGTACAAGGAACCTGTCTATAAACCTTAACTGAATGTACTGATGTTGGTCCGACCACAGTGGTATGGAGCTCCTCGAAGTACAAGGAACCTGTCTATAAAGCTAAACTGAGTGTACTGAAGTTTGTCCGACCACAGTGGTTTGGAGTTCCTGGAAGTACAAGGAACCTGTCTATAAACCTAAACTGAGTGTACTGAAGTTTGTCCGACCACAGTGGTATGGAGTTCCTGGAAGTACAAGGAACCTGTCTATAAACCTAAAATGAGTGTACTGAAGTTTGTATTGCCACAGTGGTATGGAGTTCCTGGAAGTACAAGGAACCTGTCTATAAACCTAAACTGAGTGTACTGAAGTTTGTCCTACCACAGTGGTATGGAATTCCTGGAAGTACAAGGAACCTGTCTATAAAGCTAAACTGAGTGTACTGAAGTTTGTCCGACCACAGTGGTATGGAGTTCCTGGAAGTACAAGGAACCTGTCTATAAACCTAAACTGAGTGAACTAAAGTTTGTCCGACCACAGTGGTATGGAGTTCCTGGAAGTACAAGGAACCTGTCTATAAACCTAAACTGAGTGTACTGAAGTTTGTCCTACCACAGTGGTGTGGACTTCCTGGAAGTACAAGGAACCTGTCTAAAAACCTAAACTGAGTGTACTGATGTTGGTCCGACCACAGTGGTATGGAGTTCCTGGAAGTACAAGGAACCTGTCTATAAACCTAAACTGAGTGTACTGAAGTTTGTCCTACCGATGAAGTCGTTCGCCTTGCCAATGTCCTTGTCCCACACAGTAATCTCAAGTGTCTTCTTGGCCACGTCATTGTGGCGGATCTCGTACACAAACTCCTGCAACAAACACAGTGTTTAGAGAGAACATTTGACTTAGGGTTAGAAATGTCTAACACCCATTCAGCGATATTCCAGTAAGTACTTTTTCAGACTCAATGTAACAAGCAACTCCCATGGTATGACAATGACTTAACAATGTCATGAGTGAGTGAGTGAGTTTAGTTTTATGGCCGCCAAACTCAGCAATATTCATGCTATATGGCGGTGGTCTGTAAAAAATCGAGTCTGGACCACACAATCCAGTGATCAACAGTATGAGCATCAATCTATGCAACTGGGATACAATGACAGGTGTCAACCAAGTCAGCAAACCAACCAACCAACCAACCAATTCAGTGAGCCTGACCACACGACCCCGATAGTCGCCTCTTATGACAAGCATGGGTTACTGAAGATCAATTCTAACCCAGATCTTCACGGGTTCGTTGAGTCTATCCATATAATCGCCTCATACAGGCTGGTAGGATACATGGAACAGTGAGTGAATGAGTTAAGTTTTACGCCGCACTCAGCAATATTCCAGCTATATGGCAGCGGTCTGTAAATAATCGTGTCGGGACCAGACATTCCAGTGATCAAGTTCATGAGCATCGTACTGCGCATTTGGGATACGATGACATGTGTTAAGTTTTACGCCGCACTCAGCAATATTCCAGCTATATGGCGGCGGTCTGTAAATAATCGTGTCGGGACCAGACATTCCAGTGATCAAGTTCATGAGCATCGTACTGCGCATTTGGGATACGATGACATGTGTCTACCAAGTCAGCGAGCCTGACCACCTGATCCTGTTAGTCGCCTCTTATGACAAGCATAGTCGCCTTTTGTGGCAAGCATGGGTTGCTGAAGACCTATTCTACCCTGGATCTTTACGGGTGTGACTGAGCATAGTACCCCAAACATTCCAGCAATATCACCACAGGAGACAGCAGAAATTGGCTTCAAACATTGTACCCACCTGTGTCTTCGCCATGACAAACAATTTATACACCAGGCCATCCAACTGCCTCAAATTGAGAGATCTCCGAGACTATGGGGGTCAAGGTCCGCTGACCACATGTATTGTAACACAGTTGGTGTTATGTGACTGCTTACTTTAGGCTAATTCTAACAGTACTTTGCAATCAGATTTAGCATCTTGTTCCATGACAGTGGTACAGTAACAGTAGACAGAGTAATTGTCAGGTCGGGCTATTTCAAAAGTCTATGAACGTAACTGCTGAAAATCGATACTGCATCATAACCTGCTACATGGTAGTAACCGTATTGTGAGGTCAGGCCTACCAAAGAAAACTTTACCACTGCGCAGAAAAACACAGAAACGCCAACATTAATCATGGAAATAGCAACATAAACATAACACCTCGCTACTATAACAGTAAAAACTGCAACGAAAAACTATGAAACTGCAACATTTTTTATTTCAGCGAACTTTAACCTCTACTGCGCATGCGCATTACGATCCACGCTTTTTTCCAATTTCTGAGCAGCCGTGAATTGCCTTGCGTAGAAAATATGTCGAAATAATTGCTGTCAATCATTTCATACGAATGGAAAGTAATCAAGTGTGCACACAAGTATCATGGTGATAAATGCCAAATAACACAGCAGAAGTACTTAAAAAGGGATGTAACTTCTAACCAAGCTGGAAAATGTCAACATGCGGTCGAGACTTCCTATTCCAGGCTCTTCGTTTTTTATGCAGTTTTAGCAATTTTAAAGTTGCCATTTTATAGTTTCCGTAGCGAGGTATTATGTTTATGTTGCTATTTCCACGATAAATGTGGGCTTTTCTGCATTTTCTGCACAGTGGGAAAGTTTTCTTTGGTAGGCCTGCAGGTGTGACATATCGATACTCAGTGAATCGTGACACCCTGTCTGAAATTCAAACACCTCTAGCTGAGGCAGTATGGCACGGTACCTCGTTGAATTCTGGATTGAGCGTTCTTTTCTTCACAGCAGTCTTGAACTTGGATTTCTTGTCTCTGTCAGGCTTCAGGTAGCTGAAAGAAACACATTTCACTGTATAGATCTATGGGCTTCTCTAGTGATTGAAAAGAAGTTCCTGCTTTGGCTGTTCACACATTATTCTGCTGGCTGAAGTCTTACTTGATCTTTCTTAATTACTGACATTTCAACCAATAATCATGAAGTATCCATGGTAACAGTACAGAATCTGGTAACCATGGAAACCAAAATTTTGTAATCACAGTAACCTTGGATACAAAAAAAATTAAAAAATTTAGGACTAAGAATAAGAACCCTGTATCTAAACACAAAATTTAAAATACAATATTTTGGCCCCTGAAAAAGAATTACTTACACTTTGACATATGGGTCGGAGTAGCCATTAGTGTCACAGGCTGCCAGCTCCGCACAGCGTATGATGCGGACAATCAGAGCTTGTTTTGATGTAGAGTATCGCAAGGACATCAGAAGCTTGCCACGGATAGCGATCAGATCATCATCTTTCTCCAGCTGCAAGGGAGACAACTGTGTCAGGCCTAGACCAACATTGTTCCACAAATAAATATATATGTAGGGTCCAACAGATGCTTATTTAGAGTGTAGCAGCGACATCATTAACTTCCTCCATATAGCAATCAGACCATCCTCCTCCAGGGGGCGGTGGGTTAGCCTAGTGGTTAAAGTGTCCGCTTGTCACGCTGAAGCCCGGGTTTGATTCCCCACATGGGTACAATATGTGAAGCCCATTTCTGAAGTCCCCCACCGTGATATTGCTGAAATATTGCTTAAAGCGGCATGAAACCATACTCACTCACTCACTCCGTCTCCAGCTGCAAGGGAGATAACTGTGTCATGCCCACAAATAAAGTAAAGAATCGGGTCCAATAAAAATAATTCTTCAAAGGAACCCTTAGTCTCTTAATTTCATACTAAAGGAGATGAGATGAATATGTTAGTCAGAACTGCTAGGACGGAACGGTGCTGGGTGGTGTGACTTGAATAGGGGTCAATGTGCAACTATATATATTCAGAGTGACTGTCATGCTGTTTACCATAACAAGTTCAAATACAGTTTCGGGTGTCAACAATTGTTACTTAGGAAATTTCAATATTTCGGAGATAAACATACTGTGTTGGAAAATAAGAGGTATATAATGAAATTATAATAGCTCTAAATTTGATTTAAAACTGAACGCGTTACTCGTAACCAATGACAATCCAGTATTTACTGAAGTCATGGTAGAATTCCATTTAATATTTGTCTCATAGAAAGCACAACAGCATTTACAACAGGAATGTTTCCAAGCTAAGAAGGAATACCGAAAACAATAGTTGTGTTGAGGTAGAATGCATGAGATGCATGGTCATATAAACGTTATAAACATGGTGAACTTAAGGTGAAAATATGGGTGCCCAGTTACTGTAGCTCACTTGACTAAATAATGGTGGCCATGTTGCAATTAGATTGGACTGACTGACTGACTGAGTTTGGTTTTACCCCGCTTTTAGCAATATTCCAGCAACATCACGGCGGGGGACACCAGAAATGGGCTTCACACATTGTGCCCATGTGGGGATTCGAACCCGGGTCTTTGGCTTACAATTAGATTGGAACTGCTTAGAGACCCCATTAGGGAGATCGTTCATACAAAGCTGGATCTCTTTGATGTCTTTGGCCTTGTATTTTCAGAGCAGTTGCTGAAAATGTAAAAGTTATTGACTGACATACAGCAGACACTTTCATTCAGGTGAGCTGGCAGTGACTTAACAGTGAGATAACAATGAGCCAACAATGAGCTGAAAGTGAGCTAACAGTGAGCTGACAGTGAGCTAACAGTGAACTAACAGTGAGCTAACAGTGACCTAACAGAGAGCTAACAATGAGCAAACAGTTATCTGACAGTGAGCTAAGAGTGAGCTAACAGTAAGCTGACAGTGAGATAACAGTGAACAGAGAGCTAACAATGAGCAAACAGTTATCTGACAGTGAGCTAACAGTAAGCTGACAGTGAGCTAACAGTAAGCTAACAATGAGCAAACAGTTATCTGACAGTGAGCTAAGAGTGAGCTAACAGTAAGCTGACAGTGAGCTAACAGTGAGTTAACAATGAGCAAACAGTTACCTGACAGTGAGCTTAGAGTGAGCTTAGAGTGAGCTAACAGTGAACTAACAGTGAACTAACAGTGAGCTAACAGCGAGCTGACAGAAAACTGACAGTGAGCTAAGAGTGAGCTAACAGCAAGCTGACAGTGAGCACTGCAGGTCTAAGTTTCCCTAGATACCAGGAATACAGTACCGGAAGCTGCTTCTCCAGGTAGATGTTACACTGCTTCGTCTGGTGCGGCTTGATCCTCTTCAGCGGGACTCTCGTCTCGCCAATGAAGTCGAACCCAAATGCATCTTCATCCAGTACAGACAGTCTGAAATCAACAAAAACATGATCTGTTATGGGGCAGTGCTATTTACTGTGTAACAATGTTCCAAGTATTATACATTGTACATGTCATAGGGAGTGAGTGAGTGAGTTTAGTTTTACGCCGCAATCAGCAATATTCCAGCTATATGGTGGCGGTCTGTAAATAATTGAGTCTGGACCAGACAATCCAGTGATCAACAGCATGCACATCGATCTGCGCAATTGGGAACCGATGACATGTGTCAACCAAGTCAGCGAGCCTGACCACCCGATCCCGTTAGTCGCCTCTTACGACAAGCACAGTCGCCTTTTGTGGCAAGCATGGGTTGCTGAAGACCTATTCTACCCCGGATCTTCACGGGACGTACATGTGATAGTCAGTGAGGGGCAGTGATGTGCTATGTTTAGACTTGTACTAGATTTAGACAGAACAGAATAGTAAAGTTGGACCACCTCTTACATGAACCAAAAGGATGGGGGGGTTCCTTGAATTGCGAGGATGTATACACACCTGAGAGTCTTCTTGAGACAGTCTTCCTCTGTGATGCCGTAGTATGTGAGCGTTTCATTCCACTCTGGGTTGAGAGTCTTGTGAATTGTCTTCGTCCTCATCTTGGTGGACTGAGTCATAGACAAGCATTGAATCACATAGCATTATGTCCATAGGCGGATCTAGAGGGGTGGGGGTTGCAGGGGTGAGCACCCCCTTCTGGTGCTGAGAGTTTGTTAAATGACCATTGAAACTCGGGTGAAAATGAAATGTGCACCCCTCCTTTTCTCAATAGTGTGCACCCCCCCTTTCTCAAAAAGCTGTATCCGCCCCTGATGTTCATCTAGTTTATTTTTAAGCTAACTTTGGAGAATAGATGAAAGAGCTAAATACACAATAAACAACTCTCAAAAAAATTTCATTTGAAGCCTGCATGGCCTGATTAAGCTTTTACTTTCAGAAAAACATTCCTTTCTCCATCACTTTCATTGACATTTTGAAATAATGATAAGTACAAAGGACGGCAGACTGATGGTAATTTCAATATTCAACACAGGTCTTGAACCACATTTGGGCGAGAAATGCAATAAACTAAGGCCACACCAATTTTATTTCTTGTTTTACGGATTATTGTCCTCAGAAAAGGCAGGAGGGAAAAAAACAAAAATAAAATCACCAGTCATAGCAAAAACCCACCTGAGTTTCCATGTTAACTCTTTTGGTTGTTTCTATCAACTAAAAATATGTTGAGTGAGTTTAGGTTTCACACTGATTGCAAGAGTATTTCACTTATATCACATAAACAGTAGGATTTTATTTTTTGAGCAGGGAAATTTAAAAAAAATAATTTCCCTTTATTCTTTAAAAAATACAACCGGCGGGTCCATAAAAGAAGAAATAAAATTGGTCTGGCCTAAGGGAGAATATTTCAGTAGGACAGCTGGAAAGTTGGTAAGTGATCAGTCCCAATTTCAATGTGGTTCCAATAAATGTACAGGTATGATTACACAATGCCATTTAGCAAGTGGTCAAATGTAACATATGCCATATTTGGGATTACACTTACTCTGAGGGTGTGGGTTCGAATCCCAGTTGGGACTCAACCCAAAAAGTACTAGAATTTGTACTTTACTAAGAAAGTGTAATCCCAAATATAGCATATGTTACAATGTACAGGTAAATTAGCTATGGGGAACGACCAAAAGCCCCTCTAGACAATAGCCCCTCGCTAATTTGAGCACCCCTGTAAAAAGCCCCTCGATTCATGTATTTCATAATAATACTTGACAAACAAACATTTCTCATAGCCAATCTCAGGCTTTCCCAAGGAGGAAATGGGTATATGGTTTATCATGTCAGGCTTAGCTCCAGAATTATTATGTCATGTCATTTATAATTCTTGTTGATTTGTTTTCATTTGTTTGATGATATATATTTCTTATTCTCTAAAAATATTTGCTAATTACATATTAATGTATATAGCAATTAGGGTCCTTATATTATCAAGCAGTAAAATGTATCATGTTGTTAATCATTTCTTGTCTTTAATCTTATTTTCCCATTAATACGTAAAGTGAGGGGCTTTTGGTCAGTTTTTGAGGGGCTTTTGTCTTGTGGGGCTTTTGACCTAGACCCATTAACTATAGACAGAAAACCATACCTTCATCTCCTGAACTGACATATATACAGGTGTCATTAGATTTTATTGCAATAACTGTGATGTTCTTTTGAAAAATCTTTCTCAATGTAATTAAGAGATATCTGATTCAATTTTTCATGTAAATATTATGATTTATATGATGTGGAAGAAATTCAAATTTGACCTTTTGAACTGAAATAAGATGGAAATCTCACACCAGTGGAAGCCATGACAGACCAACTCACCTTGTTTGCCCCAGGGAGAAGGTGCAGTTTGACGTAGGGGTCGGACAACCCATTGGAGTCCATAGCTTTCAGACCCTGGCAAAATAAGACAAGTAATGCAACATGGGCTTTCAAATATGGAAATACAGTCGAGCACTGTTGTCTCGATATTCATAGGACCAAGACAAAATATCAAGTTATCCGAACTTCGAGACATCTGACCAGGGCATTTCGTCACATATCATTATGACAGAAAAAAAACCAAAAAGTAGATTTCATGTATATTTACACTACCGCATCCCTTTGATTCATGTCGCACCGGGTGTAAACGATTGGAAACAACCTCAGAGGGATACTTGCCCATGAAAGGTAGGTGAATATCGAGTTTCTTTGCAAATATCGTTTTAAAAGGGTAATTTTGCTTGTTGGGACCATGGAATTATATCGAGATATCCAAAATATCGAGACATCCGTATTTGAGTTAAAAAAGCTTGAATAATGATAAATTATGAGGTATTTTGCTCGGACGGAGATGTTATATCGAGACAACCGAGATATCGAGTTATCAGAGTTCGACACAACGGTGCTCGACTGTATCAACATTCATCAAAGCTGTAGCTAACTTTTGTTTTGTTTGTTGTTCAGGCAACCCTCAGCAATATTCCGGCAATCTGTAGGTAATTGAGTCTGGACCAGACAATCCAGTGATTGATATTATGAGATTTGATCTACACAAATGCGATACGATGACACAGTGTTTGCCCTTGACTCTGAAAAGCTGCAGGCCCTAAGGACCAAGAAGCATAAACACTTGTGGGACCTGATCAGAATGTGTAGGCCCTATATTCTAGCTACAATGTAAGTAATTCCCAGCAAACAAAACATGTGACAACTAACAAACTGAGTTAAAGAGTTTAATTTAACTCTAGAGACTGACTAGGATCCCTTGAGGTAGGTTCAGTTATACGTCTGTAAATGTGATGAAAGTGTACATACCCTTGCCCTGACAATGGTGCAGTAGAGGGCGTTGTTGACGGAGTCGTACAGCAGGGAGAACTCAAGCGTGCGAGTGAGGCTGCAAGTACACGTCACTCATCAGTCTATTCTACGTTTCTACGGTAACTTATAGTGAGGTAGTTTTCACATTTTGCTAGCCAGTCGGGGAAGCTATGCCTGAAAGTTACTAGCCCACAAAAAAATTCACCAGCCCAAAATTTGAATGTAGAAACTAAGCAAAAGATTACAAAAGGGTAAAAACCATAAAAAAACAAATAAGAAAACACATGCCTGAATTTCTGAAAGTTACAGAGCAATTGATTGGTCCGTGGCAACTATAAACAACCACTCATACAGTGTTTTGCATCCACAGTTGACTTACATGTGTTTCAGAGTAAGATATTGTCGGCATGACACGGTTTCATCATTAAGCTGCTATTATGATGAACATTTTTATCAGGCCATAATCTTGCATGATTTAAAGGTGTATTATAACTTAACAAGTCAGAGAGAGTGATATATTTAGAAAATGACCCCATGAAAATTCACTAGCCAGTTGGGTCAGTGACTGTGGTGATTTACTGGTCTGACTGCATTTTAACTAGCCATGGGTGAGTGGGCCAGTGGCTATTTCGCACACTGGTGAGGAGATGTTCTACACAACAAATATACCTGATATCCAAATTAATGTTATAATTTTACTAATACTATTGCCATTGTTTAGAGATGAGACCCAAAACTGGAGATTTAGGAATAACTGGGATTGTTCGGGTCAAGAACTAACAATTAGTCAGAAATCACCATGAGCATGATTGATCGTGGTTTTGATGGAAAACCTCCCACATCTTTCCAATTTCATCTTTTGTTTGTTGTTAAACACCACACTCAGCAACTTTCCAGCTATATGGCACGGTGTGTAAATAATTGAGTCAGGACCAGATAATCCAGTGACCTACAGCAGGAGCATCGATCTACACAATTGAGATACAATGACACGTCAGCGAACCTAAATGTCCAATCCCCTTAGTCTCTCTTATGATAAACAGAGGTTGCTGAATACCAGTTCTAACCCGGATTTTCACGGGTGGCATTTCATATAATTGTACAAACTCCTCATGATGTGATGGTGAAATTGGGTTTAATGTCGTGCTTGAGAATATTTCGCACATATGACGACGTGCATGCGTGTGTATGTGTAGGTGTGGCTGCTTGTACTAGCCCAGACTGAAGCTGGTTTTATAGTGCTAGCCCACTGAGATACCATGCCGCAGTGAAGCATGAATACCCCACTCAGACACATTATACTGACTCCGAGCCGACCAGTCCTTATTGTACCCATTAATGCCGAGCGCCAGGCCGGGACGAACAAGTACCATATTTTAACGTCTTTTGGTATGACGCGGTCGGGGATCGAACCCGCGACCTTCCGCACTCCGGGCGGACGCTCTGACCACTACACCACGGAGGCGGTCAACTCCTCATGATCTGTCAGCTTGCCATCATAAAATATACTGTATATTACCGTAGTTAAGCCTATCTCATAGATAAGCCCACCCCCTAACTTTACCCTTAAAATCAGTATCATAATGGTATGTTTCGTACATAAGCCGACCCCCCTGCAATGGGGTCCTATATAATTCCGGCAGTTACCGTCTTGGATGTAAAACGTAATCATGTTTGGTGAGGAGAGTATCTAATAAAGATTTAACTGACCTCCAATGTGTTTTTTGTCAAAATGTCAAAAAAGAATGTATTAACTGCAGTGAAATCGTGTGTCCCTCCATTATTTATAACTTCAATCTGCATTATTCACAGCAATTACTATCATTGTACCAAACTCTGACATCCAAAGTATTTGTATATTTCTGACATCTCACCACCATCACTATCTGGTGAAGACACCTGATCATCGTAGTCGTCCTGCTGCGACGTCTTGATATATCTGTCCACAGCAGAGTCAATATCAGCATCCTCCTCGTGGCGAGCCGCAAGACGACTGGTCATTTCATGGCCAGACTGCATGGAACCCTGGCGGCTAAACCCTGGAGACAGAAAGATGCTGTGATACACAGGTCTCTCCATATTGCCTGCTACTTGAAAGCATACTGCTATCCTTGCTGGGTAATTTTGACCTGATGTGGCTTCACTTGATCAACAAGTTGCCTACATTTCACAGCCTTTACTTCACTTCAAACTGAGAATGCTGTTATTTTTTAGCACAATTTAATTTTCTCACAAGCACAATTCATTTATCTGTAGATGATTTGGTATTTATAATAGAATGTATTCCCAAAGACACAAGAATACCAAAACCAAATACCAACTGAAAATTTGGAATAGACCCTGTGGCCTTTGTATACGGATTACCATAGTTACTATTGTTATCGTTTTCCGAGTCGTCATGGAGATCGTCTCCACGGCTACTCTCCGTAGCGCTCCAGTGTCCCCCGTGGTAGTTGCTGCTGGTGATGCTGTTCTTGCTGTCAGCCAGACTCTGGACCCCGTACAGGTGGGGGGCACTGCCCCGACTTCCCATGCTCATGTTGTCACTCTCTGGGGAGGAGGAGGATAAGTAACGATAACATTTCCGGAGAGTGAGTGAGGGACATGTATCAAAGTCAAATCTTTTATTTGTATGATTTGTTTGTTTGTTTGTTTAACGCCACACTCAGCAGTATTCCAGCTATATGGCAGCAGTCTGTATATAATCATGTTGGGATCAGTCAATCCAGTGATCAACAGCATGAGCATCGATCTACGCAACTGTGATACAATGATATGTGTCAACCAAGTCTGACCACACGATCCCGTTAGTCGCCTCTTACGACAAGCATGGGTTACTGAAGACCAATTCTAACCCGGATCTGTGCGTCTTATATGACTTTGTACAACATCTACAACAAATTATTCCAGTATTTATAAAATTGTGTCTCAATTCATAACTTTGAGATATATAGTTACCTAAGTTTGTCTGTAACCTTACATCATTTGAAGACAGAAGCATTCATATTCAGGTTACGACAATAACTTAAGGCGTAAAGACATGTCTTGGGGGGTGGGGTGAGGTGGGTGTGTGTGTCGTTGATTTTGTACATAAAATTGGGGGTTGGGAGGGCATTCACATTGTACATGCTTCTCCACAAAAATCATCATCACCCACCTTGCCATTGATTATGAATGGTCCCTAACGATACATTTTCAGGGGTGGAAATAACCCATTGCCCGACGCCTGAGTCCAGTGTTTTTTTCTGTCGGGCAAGCAAATTTGTATATCACACTGTACCGGTGTCCAGTTGATATTCCAATGTTGATTATGTTGTTTATTTAAAAAATCAACAAGAAAACGGCCGGTATAGTGGAAAAATTATCAGGGTAAGTGATTTTACATGTGCCACTGTACCGGAGTACACTAACAATTTTAAAGTTATTTCCACCCCTGATTTTAATATAAAAGGTCAAGGGCACTTGGAACATATAGGGACACACAGTATGATACAACCTGGCTAGCAAGACCTGATTAAAACCATTGTTGTGACATTTGTTCAGTTAGAGAGGAGACTCTTCTCCATGCCACTAGGTGACGTACCTGACTCTCCGCCTCTCTTGGACTTTGGCTTGGCGATGTTGTACTCGTCTTCGGAGCTGCTGGAGGACTCCTGGTCGCTGCTCTCCCCGTAGCTGGCTGCAACACAGTACCACAATTGCGGCAGGAAAACACATGCAGATTTTAGGATATCATGATGTAAAGTTACACTCGCAGAATTTAGGATATCATGATCTAAAGTTATCCATACAGAATTTAGGATATCATAATGTAAAGTTATCCATGCAAAATTTAGGATATCATAATGTAAAGTTATACATGCAGAATTTAGGATATCATTACGTAAAGTTATACATGCAGAAATTAGGATATCATAATGTAAAGTTATACATGCAGAATTTAGGATATCATGATGTAAAGTTATACATGCAGAATTTAGGATATCATAATGTAAAGTTACACTCGCAGAATTTAAAATATCATGATGTAAAGTTACACATGCAGAATTTAGGATATCATAATGTAAAGTTACACTCGCAGAATTTAGGAAATCAAGATGTAAAGTTATACATGCAGAATTTAGGATATCATAATGTAAAGTTACACTCGCAGAATTTAAAATATCATGATGTAAAGTTACACTCACAGAATTTAGGATATCATAATGTTAAGTTATACATGCAGAATTTAGGATATCATAATGTAAGGTTATACATGCAGAATTTAGGATATCATAAGGTAAAGTTACACTCGCAGAATTTAGGATATCATAATGTAAAGTTATACATGCAGAATTTAGGATATCATGATGTAAAGTTATATATGCAGAATTTAGGATATCATAATGTAAAGTTATACATGCAGAATTTAGGATATCATGATGTAAAGTTACATATGCAGTATTTAGGATATCAAAATGCAAAGTCAGTGTGAGATGGATAGGGCACAGTATTCAGGACGTACTGGTGTGAGATGGCTAGGACACAGTGTTCAGGACCTACTGGTGTGAGATGGCTAGGACACAGTATTCAGGACCTACTAGTGTGAGATGGCTAGGGCACAGTGTTCAGGACCTACTGGTGTGAGATGGCTAGGGCACAGTGTTCAGGACCTACTGGTGTGAGATGGCTGGGGCACAGTATTCAGGACCTACTGGTGTGAGATGGCTAGGGAACAGTATTCAGGACCTACTGGTGTGAAATGGCTAGGGCACAGTGTTCAGGACCTACTGGTGTGAGATGGCTAGGGAACAGTATTCAGGACCTACTGGTGTGAGATGGCTAGGGCACAGTATTCAGGACCTACTGGTGTGAGATGGCTAGGGCACAGTATTCAGGACCTACTGGTGTGGGATGGCTAGGGCACAGTATTCAGGACCTACTGGTGTGAGATGGCTAGGGCACAGTATTCAGGACCTACTGGTGTGAGATGGCTAGGGCACAGTGTTCAGGACCTACTGGGTGTGAGATGGCTAGGGCACAGTGTTCAGGACCTACTGGTGTGAGATGGCTAGGGCACAGTATTCAGGACCTACTGGTGTGAGATGGCTAGGGCACAGTGTTCAGGACCTACTGGTGTGAGATGGCTAGGGCACAGTATTCAGGACCTACTGGTGTGAGATGGCTAGGGCACAGTGTTCAGGACCTACTGGTGTGAGATGGCTGGGGCACAGTATTCAGGACCTACTGGTGTGAGATGGCTAGGGAACAGTATTCAGGACCTACTGGTGTGAAATGGCTAGGGCACAGTGTTCAGGACCTACTGGTGTGAGATGGCTAGGGCACAGTATTCAGGACCTACTGGTGTGAGATGGCTGGGGCACAGTATTCAGGACCTACTGGTGTGAGATGGCTAGGGAACAGTATTCAGGACCTACTGGTGTGAGATGGCTAGGGCACAGTATTCAGGACCTACTGGTGTGAGATGGCTAGGGCACAGTGTTCAGGACCTACTGGTGTGAGATGGCTAGGGCACAGTGTTCAGGACCTACTGGTGTGGGATGGCTAGGGCACAGTATTCAGGACCTACTGGTGTGAGATGGCTAGGGCACAGTGTTCAGGACCTACTGGTGTGAGATGGCTAGGGCACAGTATTCAGGACCTACTGGTGTGAGATGGCTAGGGCACAGTGTTCAGGACCTACTGGTGTGAGATGGCTGGGGCACAGTATTCAGGACCTACTGGTGTGAGATGGCTAGGGAACAGTATTCAGGACCTACTGGTGTGAGATGGCTAGGGCACAGTGTTCAGGACCTACTGGTGTGAGATGGCTAGGGCACAGTATTCAGGACCTACTGGTGTGAGATGGCTGGGGCACAGTATTCAGGACCTACTGGTGTGAGATGGCTAGGGAACAGTATTCAGGACCTACTGGTGTGAAATGGCTAGGGCACAGTGTTCAGGACCTACTGGTGTGAAATGGCTAGAGCACAGTGTTCAGGACGTACTGGTGTGAGATGGCTAGGGCACAGTGTTCAGGACCTACTGGTGTGAGATGGCTAGGGAACAGTGTTCAGGACGTACTGGTGTGAGATGGCTAGGGCACAGTGTTCAGGACGTACTGTTGTGAGATGGCTAGGGAACAGTATTCAGGACCTACTGGTGTGAGATGGCTGGGGCACAGTATTCAGGACCTACTGGTGTGAAATGGCTGGGGCACAGTGTTCAGGACCTACTGGTGTGAGATGGGTAGGGCACAGTGTTCAGGACCTACTGGTGTGAGATGGCTGGGGCACAGTGTTCAGGACCTACTGGTGTGAGATGGCTAGGGAACAGTATTCAGGACCTACTGGTGTGAAATGGCTGGGGCACAGTGTTCAGGGCCTTCTGGTGTGAGATGGCTAGGGCAATGTTCAGGACCAACTGGTGTGAGATGGCTAGGATACAGTATTCAGGACCTACTGGTGTGAGATGGCTAGGGCACAGTGTTCAGGACCTACTGGTGTGAAATGGCTGGGGCACAGTGTTCAGGGCCTACTGGTGTGAGATGGGTAGGGCACAGTATTCAGGACCTACTGGTGTGAGATGGCTGGGGCACAGAGTTCAGGACCTACTGGTGTAAGATGGATAGGGCACAGTATTCAGGACCTATTAAACCCACCTGTACTTGAGCTGCCCCTGGCTCGATGCCAGGTGTAGGAGTCCCGCAACTGAGTCCCTGGACGCCCCTTCGTTGACTGCCTCAGCTGCTGCGTCCGTCCACCTCGCTGGTACTTGCTCCCCTCCGACTTGATCTTCTCAGGGATCACATACTTGGGTAGGCCCTTGAAAAACCAAGCACCAGATCGCTTCCACACCTACAGAGAATGGTACACAGTGAGACACAAGGCGCCAGGTGGAGCTCATCAGATACATGTCACCATGGATATTACAGAAACTATAGTTCCTCTCCTTCCACCACCCCACAATACTGTGCAGTCTGGAAATGCAGTTTGGCTTGTTGTCACTAGATACCTTTGTTCAACAAATTCCTTTACAGAATTTGGGGAAGTATGGCATAGCTTGGCATAGCTGAATAACACGGTATAACTTACTGTCACAGACAATGAAGTGGTTATTTAAAGGATAAAAGAAAAGTAATTTCATTACAATTTTCTCTTCTTTACATTTTACAGTACCAATCATGCAAAACGTAAAGGTATATCAATGTTAACACTACTGTCTTACAGCTAAGAGTGAGTGAGTTTAGTTTTACCCCACTTTTAGCAATATTCCAGCTATATCGGGGACACCACAAATGGGTTTCACACATTGTACTCATGTGGGGAATCAAACCCGGGTCTTCGGCGTGACAAGTGGACGCCTTAACCACTGGGCTACCCCACCGCCCCTACAGATATAGTGCAGGATATTGTGATCAACACATATCTTCTACACAAATGAAATAATTTCTACAAATTGACAGGACATATTGCATAAGTGCCTTTTCTGCCTACATGCCAAACTTTGCAAAGACTGACTGACTGACTGAGTTTGGTTTTACTCCGCTTTTAGCAATATTCCAGCAATATCACGGCGGGGGACACCAGAAATGGGCTTCACTCATTGTACCCATGTGGGGGATTCGAACCCGGGTCTTCGGCGTGACGAGCCAACGCTTTAACCACTAGACTACCCCACCGCCCCACTTTGCAAAGAAAAATATCTGTTTAATTATAGAATAATCCACAATCATCAAAAGGCACGAAAATCACCACTAGATTGACATGGATGTAAACATTCCCCAAAAAGATTTAACGGTTTGAGTTCTATGCCAGGAAATGAGTGAGTGAGGGTGGGTTTACGCTGATTTTAGCAATATTCCAGCCATATCACAGCGGGGGACACCAGAAATGGGCTTCACACATTGTACTCACATGGGGAATCGAACCCAGGTCTTCAGTGTGATGAGCGGATGTGTTAACCACTAGGCTACCCCACCGCCCCGCCCAGGAAATGAGCACTACCCTTACTGATACTTGCTGTCATGAAACTTGACAAAAACAGATTCCAAATCATTTCAGCAAGAATTATTCATTGGATTTGGAAAACACACAGAGGACAGGTGGATGGACGGACATGCTGATCTCCATATTCAGCCATATTTCAAACTGAGCGTACGAAAGGTCATTCTAAAACTGACTGACTGACTGAGTTTAGTTTTACGCCGCTTTTAGCAATATTCCAGCAATATCACGGCGGGGGACACCAGAAATGGGCTTAACACATTGTGCCCATGTGGGGAATCGAACCCGGGTCTTCGGCGTGACGAGACAACGCTTTAACCACTAGGCTACCCCACCGCCCCGTCATTCTAAAAGAGTGAGTTAAAAGAGTGAGTTAACTTTTACGCCGTTTTTAGCAATATTCCACCAATATCACGGCGAGGGACACCAGAAATGAGCTTCACACATTGTACCCATGTGGGGAATCGAACCCGGGTCTTCAGCGTGACGAGCGAACGCTTTAACACTAGGCTTCCCCACCGCCCCATTCTAAAAGAAGGCTCTTATGAATAAAAATGTACAATATTGCACAGATTTCATATCCCTCGATTCCTGTAACCAGCGCTGATTAAGGGTATGGCAGGATATTCAAACATTGCATCCTTTTCTCAAACAAATTGGATATTAATGCAAATAATATGCATTACGAGTCCCACAGGAAGAAAATAAGACAGACGTATGAATCATTTAGTTAATCAATTTTAGCTTGCATTTTGAAACAAATGATATTTCAATCCTGAGTGGAATGTAGTTCAGATTTTCCCAATATACCTGTTTCAAAAGATCATTTCAACTTTTCAAAAGATTGCGACAAACATTATAATCTGTACAGTGTCAACATGACCTTGAAAATATCGGTGTAAATGTCAGGCAATACATATGAATGTTTCAGGTCAGAATGCTGGTGAATATTCTATAACTCTTAGTCAATATAGATTTGAGACAGTAAATGAATCTTTGATGATATAATGTTATCTACTACGACAAGGCGGCTGGCAACTCACCTCGCGCTGTTCGCTGCAGATCTTACATATCCACAGCTGCTGCTTGCCCCCACTCCAGGTGTCCACCCCACACTTGGAACACACCGCCTGGAACAGTTAGTTGATAGTATGAACATACATTCAGGGTTATAGTATGACAAGAAATTATTGAGAATTTTAGGAATATGTTTAACTGGATTTCTAGTATAAACAACCTTGACCAGCTATCAAGTGCTTGGTTTCATTCAAGAGAGAGAGACAACTCCATTAATCCTTTTTTCATTAGTTTGTGAAGAGTTATCCCCCTTTGTTTACTTGCTAGCAGACGACATTTTCAGTGATCCTCAGTATGGTTGATTTAGAGAAGAGGAAGTTGATTTTAGAGTATTATAACAAGGACATCAGATCAGCTGAAGTGATTTCAAGTAGAACAGGCCCTTTGTCCACTGTTTATCGTGTTTTGAAAAATATTGCAAATGGATATGGCATTGAGCACCAGGGAGGCGCAGGTAGGCCCAGAAAATTGACTGTCGGTGACAGGAGGTGGCTTGGTATTCCTGTTTCTAAAAACAAACGAAGGAGTTTAGAAAACTTAAGGCTGGATATGATTGATAGAGGAACTGTGGCTGTCTGTAAGGAGACAATTAGAACTGAGCTGCATGCAATGGGTTGGCAGAAAAGTCGAGGAATTCAATCACCGATCATGAAACCTGAACAAAAGGAGCGAAGGTTGAACTGGTGCTTACAGCATAGAAATTTTAACTGAGACAATGTGATTTTCTCAGATGAAAGTTGTGTGGCTGTTTCCTAATACACTGAAATTCTGGACCAAACAAACTGAAAAACCTTTGTATCAGTGCCCAAAGTACAGTCCGAAATTAAACGTCTGGGGTGGCATATCTGTGTATTTGAAGGGAATATGAACAGTGAGCGGTACACAGATATTCTCGAGGGACATTTACTTCCATCTGCTCACGTGTTCTATGGACATTTTTGGATTTTCCAGCAGGACAACAACCCAAAACATTGTTCAAAGCATTCACAGGCCTGGTTTCGGACCCAAAATACGACATTATTAGATAGCCCTGACCTAAATCCAATAGAAAATGTTTGGGGACTTATGAAGGAAAGTGTCAATAAGAAAAATCTGACAAATATTGCTGAAATGAAAGAAGAGGTGGTCCGAGATTGGGACAGCATGGACCACGACTTTCTAACTTCTTTGATCAGTAGTATGCCCCGCCGCATTGAAGCCTGCATTGCTGCCCATGGTGACTTGACAAAATACTAACTGTTCACCTGTCTGTCTTTGAATCTGGAGTTATGTTCTGCTAATATTCACATTTAATACGTGAGTAATGAGTGAAAAAAAATATAAAAAATACAATCTTTAAATTCTAAATAATTTCTGGTTGTACTGTATCTGATACCAGTGAACACTGAACTATGAGTGGGTGGGTGAGTGTGTGTGTGTGTGGGTGGGTGGATGTGTGGGTGGGTGAGTGAGAAAAGTGAGTGAGTTGGGTTTTACGCCGCTTTTAGCAATATTCCAGCAATATCACCAAAAAAATGGGCTTCACCCATTGAACACATGTGGGGAATGGAACCCAGGTCTTCGGTGTGATGAGCGCACGCTTTAACCAAAAGGCTACCCCACTGAACTGTAATTGTCTGTCACTTGCGTGGTCAGAGCAGCCAGTCATTGATGGCATGAACATACATTCAGTGTTATCTTACACCAGTGAATACCGTACTGTGATTGGCTGTGACTCATGTCGACAGAGCAGCCAGTCACTGATTGCATGAACATGGTAACCATGATTAGGTTGGTACCTTTTTACAGGAATCACAGAAGGTGGGTGATGCTCCAAGAAGTCCGAACTCGTCCCCACACAGGACACACTGGGTGGTTCCGTTACCGATACAGTTCTTCCTCATGTTGTCCAGCTTGTCCACCAGACGTCTGTCAACAAATAATCATATCTGGTCAGGAAGCGGTGCCCACATAACTTCCTCTATCAAATAAGTAAGAAATTGTTGACATATCTATTATACATTGATGTTATTAAAAAAGGGGGATAACTCTATAATATCGCAGTATCAATATATTTATACTTATTTGTTTGTTGTTTAACGCCTCACTCAGCAGTATTCCAGCTTTGCGCCAGCAGTCCAGTGATCAACAGCATGACCATCGATCTATGCCACTGGGATATAAAGGTTTGTAAACCAAGTGAGCGAGCCCGACCACCCGATCCAATTAGTTGCCTCTAATAAGTTCACTTACATGATGTGTGGAATATGTGCTTTACATCACTTCCTGTACTGAATTACATATCATCATTGTGAATAAGTTCTCAGCTAAGTCAATGGAGACCGTAACAAATGGTTTGTATTTCAAAAAGAGATAGTTGGTAATGCCACTTAAAACATTCCAGAAGCTATTATTAGCAAGTTGATGTTTATTAAACGGCAGTCTTGAAATACTAGAGCCAGTTTTGGGTTGGATCAAGTGATAAATAATGTGCTTAGCTTTGTTTAACAGCCGAAAGGGGCTGTGGATTACAAAAAGTCCTGACAATCCCAGAACATATTGCCTTGCATCAAAACATCATCTCATCGATGATCATAGTTTTATACTGCGTAAATACACTGCAGTGTATGTGTGGATTAATAGGGTTTATGTTTCCCTAATATAACAAACCCTTGTTTATCTGAACATTATTGGTCCAGAAACACGCCTTCCAAAAGATTCCTGGAGGGAAGGCAGATGTTCCCAAACCTTTCAAGATTTTAAAGTTACTTTACGGCCACACTTTTTAATACTTGGTTTTATGACCATAATTTTTGCTAAAGTGGAAAATATATTCCATTTTTCCATTTTTTTAAAATACTGCAAATAAATACAATCCAAATAAATAATCTAAAAATCTACTTTATTGAAATTGACTTTCTGTTACGAATTTAGCATCGTGTAAAAAAAGTTTTTAAATATTGAAACACTGACTGAGTGAGTATGGTTTTACACAGCTTTTTAGCAATATTCCAGCAATATCACAGCGGGGGACACCAGAAATGGGCTTCACACATTGTACAATAAATATTGAAACAAATAAAATTGCTGAATTAACGTTACCGAGTGAAAAATGCTGGGTTTTATAAACCCTAATATAGAAGGTAATGAAAACACCTGAATGGCTGATTTCATATTCTCTTCTTTTTTAAACAGCCTACTTGTGGTGAAAGACACTTACGAAAAAAAACATATAATCTGAAATAGCATTAAAAAAAAAAATTACCGCCTACCGACAGGAATATTGCTGTAAAAAATCTGCAAACCAAGTAACAAAAAAAGTGTGGTCTAACAGTGGCTGGCAACACCGGTCATAACCAACTAGTCTGCAGTTCAGTTTGGACTAATGTTTCACGATAAGAGTGAGTGAGTGAGTTTAGTTTTATGCTGCACTCAGCAATATTACAGCTATATGGCGGCGGTCTGTAAATAATCTGGACCAGACAATCCAGTGATCAACAGCATGAGCATCAATCTGCACAATTTGGGTACGATGACATGTGTCAACCAAGTCAGCGAGCCTGACCAACCGATCCCATTAGTTGCCTCATACGACAAGCATGGGTTACTGAAGATCAATATTCGAACCCGGACCTTCAAGGGTATCACGATAAGATTGTTAGACTAACGGACCAGTGGCAGTGTCTGTCCATTTCTTAAGGATTATTGTTAGCTGAGCTTACAAGACTGAGCTGAATTTCACTTGACATGGGCTAGGGGCTAGAGGTTTCTGGCTGGGAATATCTGCATCTATCACCAAAATAACTGCATAACAACAGTTTAATATTCCAGATATTGTTACCATGGAGATCCATATTGGAAGAGGGATGAGACAAATATCATAGGATTATTATTAGCTGAGCTTACTAGACTGAAATGCAGTATACTTGACATGGGCTGGGGACTAGATGTTTCTGATTGGGAAAATCTACTTCTATCTATCACCAAACTAAATTCATGACCATGATTTAATATTTTACTACAATACCATATTGGAAGAGGGATAAGACAGATATCACAGATATGATAGGATTTTCTCTCCCTTACCCAATCCTCTCCTGTTCGACTTGTTCGAGATAATCTGCACGGTTGATGACACGCATGATCTGCTCCTGCTCGTCCAGATTCAGCTGGTCGTTCTTGTGGAACTGTGCCATACGATTAGTATGTACCGACCACCCTGTGCCCAGCCTGTAACATAGAGTTCATATTGTCAAGGGACATCACACCACACTGGAGGAAACATACACAACACCATGTGATTAGTATGTACCGACCACCCAGTGCCCAGCCTGTAACATAGAGTTCATATTGTCAAGGGATGTCACACCACACTGGAGGAAACATACACAACACCATGTGATTAGTATGTACCGACCACCCTGTGCCCAGCCTGTAACATAGAGTTCATATTGTCAAGGGACGTCACACCACATTGGAGGAAACATACACAACACCATGTGATTAGTATGTACCGACCACCCTGTGCCAAGCCTGTAACATAGAGTTCATATTGTCAAGGGACGTCACACCAAACTGAGGTAACACACACCATGTGATTAGTATGTACCGACCACCCTGTGCCCAGCCCGTAACAGATAGAATTCATATTGTCAAGGGACGTCACACCACATTGGAGGAAACATACACCACACCATGTGATTAGTATGTACCGACCACCCTGTGCCAAGCCTGTAACATAGAGTTCATATTGTCAAGGGACGTCACACCAAACTGAGGTAACATACACCATGTGATTAGTATGTACCGACCACCCTGTGCCCAGCCCGTAACAGATAGAATTCATATTGTCAAGGGACGTCACACCACATTGGAGGAAACATACACCACACCATGTGATTAGTATGAACCGACCACCCTGTGCCCAGCCTGTAACATAGAGTTCATATTGTCAAGGGACGTCACACCAAACTGAGCTAACACACACCACACCATGTGATTAGTATGTACCGACCACCCTGTGCCCAGCCTGTAACATAGAGTTCATATTGTCAAGGGACGTCACACCAAACTGAGGTAACATACACCATGTGATTAGTATGTACCGACCACCCTGTGCCCAGCCCGTAACAGATAGAATTCATATTGTCAAGGGACGTCACACCACATTGGAGGAAACATACACCACACCATGTGATTAGTATGTACCGACCACCCTGTGCCCAGCCCGTAACAGATAGAATTCATATTGTCAAGGGACGTCACACCAAACTGAGGTAACACACACCATGTGATTAGTATGTACCGACCACCCTGTGCCCAGCCTGTAACATAGAGTTCATATTGTCAAGGGACGTCACACCAAACTGAGGTAACACACACCATGTGATTAGTATGTACCGACCACCCTGTGCCCAGCCCGTAACATAGAGTTCATATTGTCAAGGGACGTCACACCAAACTGAGGTAACACACACCATACCATGTGATTAGTATGTACCGACCACCCTGTGCCCAGCCTGTAACATAGAGTTCATATTGTCAAGGGACGTCACACCACACTGAGGTAACACACACCATGTGATTAGTATGTACCCACCACCCCTGTGCCCAGCCTGTAACATAGAGTTCATATTGTCAAGGGACGTCACACCAAACTGAGGTAACATACACCACACCATGTGATTAGTATGTACCGACCACCCTGTGCCCAGCCTGTAACATAGAGTTCATATTGTCAAGGGACGTCACACCAAACTGAGGTAACATACACCATGTGATTAGTATGTACCGACCACCCTGTGCCCAGCCTGTAACATAGAGTTCATATTGTCAAGGGACGTCACACCAAACTGAGGTAACACACACCATGTGATTAGTATGTACCGACCACCCTGTGCCCAGCCTGTAACATAGAGTTCATATTGTCAAGGGACGTCACACCAAACTGAGGTAACACACACCATGTGATTAGTATGTACCGACCACCCTGTGCCCAGCCTGTAACATAGAGTTCATATTGTCAAGGGACGTCACACCACATTGGAGGAAACACACAACACCATGTGATTAGTATGTACTGACCACCCAGTCCCCAGCCTGTAACATAGAGTTCTTATTGTCAAGGGACGTCACACCACATTGGAGGAAACATAGACAACACCATGTGATTAGTATGTACCGACCACCCTGTGCCCAGCCTGTAACATAGAGTTCATATTGTCAAGGGACGTCACACCAAACTGAGGTAACACACACCATGTGATTAGTATGTACCAACCACCCAGTGCCAGCCTGTAACATAGAGTTCATATTGTCAAGGGACGTCACACCAAACTGAGGTAACACACACCATGTGATTAGTATGTACCAACCACCCAGTGCCAGCCTGTAACATAGAGTTCATATTGTCAAGGGACGTCACACCAAACTGAGGTAACACACACCATGTGATTAGTATGTACCGACCACCCTGTGCCCAGCCTGTAACATAGAGTTCATATTGTCAAGGGACGTCACACCAAACTGAGGTAACACACACCATGTGATTAGTATGTACCGACCACCCTGTGCCCAGCCTGTAACATAGAGTTCTTATTGTCAAGGGACGTCACACCACATTGGAGGAAACATACACAACACCATGTGATTAGTATGTACCAACCACCCTGTGCCCAGCCTGTAACATAGAGTTCATATTGTCAAGGGACATCACACCACATTGGAGGAAACATACACAACACCATGTGATTAGTATGTACCGACCACCCTGTGCCCAGCCTGTAACATAGAGTTCTTATTGTCAAGGGACGTCACACCACATTGGAGGAAACATACACAACACCATGTGATTAGTATGTACCAACCACCCAGTGCCCAGCCTGTAACATAGAGTTCATATTGTCAAGGGACGCCACACCACATTGGAGGAAACAACACACACAACACCATGTGATTAGTATGTACCCGACCACCCTGTGCCCAGCCTGTAACATAGAGTTCTTATTGTCAAGGGACGTCACACCACATTGGAGGAAACATACACAACACCATGTGATTAGTATGTACCAACCACCCTGTGCCCAGCCTGTAACATAGAGTTCATATTGTCAAGGGACGTCACACCACATTGGAGGAAACATACACAACACCATGTGATTAGTATGTACCGAATTCACCCCTGCCCAGCCTGTAACATAGAGTTCTTATTGTCAAGGGACGTCACACCACATTGGAGGAAACATACACAACACCATGTGATTAGTATGTACCAACCACCCAGTGCCCAGCCTGTAACATAGAGTTCATATTGTCAAGGGACGTCACACCAAACTGAGGTAACACACACCATGTGATTAGTATGTACCGACCACCCTGTGCCCAGCCCGTAACAGATAGAGTTCATATTGTCAAGGGACGTCACACCACATTGGAGGAAACATACACAACACCATGTGATTAGTATGTACCAACCACCCTGTGCCCAGCCTGTAACATAGAGTTCTTATTGTCAAGGGACGTCACACCACATTGGAGGAAACATACACAACACCATGTGATTAGTATGTACCGACCACCCTGTGCCCAGCCTGTAACATAGAGTTCATATTGTCAAGGGACGTCACACCAAACTGAGGTAACACACACCATGTGATTAGTATGTACCGACCACCCTGTGCCCAGCCCGTAACAGATAGAGTTCATATTGTCAAGGGACGTCACACCAAACTGAGGTAACATACACCACACCATGTGATTAGTATGTACCGACCACCCTGTGCCCAGCCCGTAACAGATAGAATTCATATTGTCAAGGGACGTCACACCACATTGGAGGAAACATACACAACACCATGTGATTAGTATGTACCGACCACCCTGTGCCCAGCCTGTAACATAGAGTTCATATTGTCAAGGGACGTCACACCAAACTGAGGTAACACACACCATGTGATTAGTATGTACCGACCACCCTGTGCCCAGCCTGTAACATAGAGTTCTTATTGTCAAGGGACGTCACACCAAACTGAGGTAACACACACCACACCATGTGATTAGTATGTACCGACCACCCTGTGCCCAGCCTGTAACATAGAGTTCATATTGTCAAGGGACGTCACACCACACTGAGGTAACACACACCACACGAACCTTCCAGGTGGAACCATTTGCAGTCAGGCTATAAGGCGAACATCACACATTACTAGCATTAGATGCTCATAACAGAAAGCCTCAATAGTTTTACGAAAACGATAAAACCAACACCATCTCCATCAAACGTGACAAAAGCCATTAAAGTTGTATAGGATTCATTCATGCATGTTGCACGTCTGATGTGATCAGTATTAACAGCTGTGAGTGCGTCTGTGTACTGAGGAGGGCAGATGATGGGTTATCGATGAGATCTCGACCAGCTGTTTTACATAATCCCACAACGGATCTACAATCAGATATAACACCTATTACCTCAGGGCGTGTCTGGAAATCTTCACAGGCAACCATGTTGCTGCAGCCAGAACCACAGAAGTAATGATACATAATCTAAGTAGGGATTACCAGCTGCCACGTCATCACACCATCATCATATCAATACGATTTAAATGTTTATACCGTACATATTGTCAAGTTTATTTTGATTTCAGATCCTAACTTCAAGGTCGACTTCTAGTCTGTGTCACAATTACTTTCTGCCCGAGCCCTTTTCACAATGCTAAACAACTAAATGAAGCAAGTCTAGATTTCTTCAGAATCTCCCATCACATTGGGTCTTCTTTTCGATGTCAAAGGAATTATTTGTTTCTATCACATGATATCAAAGCTTCTGCTCCTCACGCCAAAGACCCGGGTTCAATTCCCCAAATGGGAATAATGTGTGAAGCCCATTTCTGGTGCCTCCTGGTGTGATGTTGCTGGAATATTGCTAAAATCATATTCAGTGACAGGTGCCAAATGTGACAGGTGTCATAGCTTTGTGGCTGTAACAATGAAGACTATAGGTGCCAAATGTGACAGGTCTCACAGCTATGTGGCTGTAACAATGAAGACTACAGGTGCCAAATGTGACAGGTCTCACAGCTATGTGTCTGTAACAATGAAAAAATCCAGGTGCCAAATGTGACAGGTCTCATAGCTATGTGGCTGTAACAATGAAGACTACAGATGCCAAATGTGACAGGTCTCATAGCTATGTGTCTGTAACAATGAAGACTAATCTCACTCACTCACTTTGT